GGATATTGTATAGCTGCTAGTAACCAAACAAAGATTGCCGGAAAGGATGGGGCACCAAACTTGTGGATACAGAAACTTCGCAAAGCAAATGTGGAGATGTTTGAAAGTGACATGTTTATTCACGCTGCAAATGCATCCTCTCAAGGGTGGTACAGTGGTAGATTACTGAATAAAGCATTGACAAACGTGTTCTCCTTCTTAAAAGGAGAGTCAGAGTGTGGAAAAAATCTGGCTAAGGAAAGCAACACTTCCCAAAGTACGTCGATGGTCCCATCCCAACATAATCAATTCCTATTGTCTTAAAGATACATACATACATACATATATATATATACCACATCATATATTCATGTTTTATTATATTGTATTACATTGTCTTATATCATATCATATATTTAATATAAAAGAATATAATACCATATCATATCATATCATATCATATCATATCATATATCGTGTGTTGGTATGTTGTTATATTATCTTATATCATATGATATTATATTTTGGTGTATTATATCATGTTATATTATGTTTTGTGATATATTGTATTATATCTTACTACACTATATTATGTTATGCTATGTTGTATGACATTATATTATATTATCTTATCTTGTATTATATAACAACTCTTTAAGACCATGAGAGCAGCAATAGAAATGTGCATCGGAGCCGGACGCACCTTTTGTAAACGTTGGCCATGAGTGTGACTCACTCAGCTAGCTAGGATCACTTTTGAAGTGTCCCACTCTGGCTGAGTCAAACATGTGCTTCCCTCCCCTTTTGAGTTAGGAGAGGGCGGGTGGGGATTTCAAAATCACACCCTTGAGCCAAAATGGCCCCAGGCCAAGCTGGTTCAAGGGTTTCCCTCCCACAAACACCCCTCTCATGTCATTTAGTTGTTACAACAACAGCTTCACTGTTTCACCCAACAACTCTTTAAGACCATGAGAGCAGCAATAGAAATGTGCATCGGAGCCGGACGCACCTTTTGTAAACGTTGGCCATGAGTGTGACTCACTCAGCTAGCTAGGATCACTTTTGAAGTGTCCCACTCTGGCTGAGTCAAACATGTGCTTGATTGAGTCCATGATGCCAACCTGGTCCATTCTGCGTTCGAGCGCATTATGACTCCGATGAGGATGATGAAGAGGTAGAGGGCTCATCATCCAATTTCTGTTGCTTGGGCTTGAAACATTTGTTGCATTCTGGCTTGTCTGGGTCCGCTTGACTTGCAAGTGCATAGTCTGCGTGACCACGTGCAAAATACCAGTTGCATTGGGTGCGCCATAGGTAGTGAGGACGCGTTGGTCCACTACAGGCTACCTTGTGGATCTTGCCGTAGGCAGATCTGTTAATTACAAACTCCACTGAAGCTGGCTGCTCCGATTGCGGAGCAATATCCACTGCAGCCTCGCAGTCCGCAAGGCAGTCCACGGACTGGTTCCGTAAGGAAACTGCTGCGGCTGGCGGGGAACAATTTTGCGCCTGGTTGAGGATCGCAGAAAGTTCCGCCCGGGCTGCTGCTAAAGAAGTTGTGAGAGAAGCTTCTTTTGCCAAGGAATGCAGCTGCTGAAGTGGAGCGTCGCGGATATATATCCTGAAGCACTCTGAACCCCAGCGCCCAAATAGCTGGATCCTCCAGAGTTCAATCTGGGTCTGTGCCAGGTACACTGCGCCAGTTGCCCGGGCGCTGTGTCCGGTGAATCTCCTTGCCCCAGTGTCTGTGTGAGTAAGAAGATTCAGCTGCTGTGCCATGCATTGCATGGTGTCGGCCCATCCGCATTTGGATGACTGCTCACCTGTGGCTGATGGGAAAACCCAGCGATCGCTGATAGCTCCCACTGCCTCTAGGTGCTCCACCATGGCATGGTATGGACACTCTGGCTGCCGGGCATTCTGTTCGCAATTACAAGAATGCGTTCGAGTTGCGCCCAGGGCTTGCCAATCCGCCTTACTGGATGGAAGCTTCCAGTGGATAAGTCTTTGGACCTTGTCGATTTCGATGTGCGACCTCTCTGCCGAGCTTGCTTCGATTTCACGAAGGAGCCACCATGATGCCAACATGACGGACCTCATCGGGAAAATTGGTCCTCCAGGAGCTGCTGGGTCCTTGTGAACTTTCAGCTTCGCTAGCTCGATCATCGGCAAAGGTTGCGCCTGTTTGGCTGGCCCTCGGCCTCTTTGGCACGCCCTTCTGGCTTGCCTAGAGGCCTGGGCAAGCTGTGCTGTCCAATCCAGTCCTCTCTCAATGTGTATCTGCTTGGCTGTGTCCATGTATAGCTCTGCTGATCTATAGCCGGCCATGTCCATCGCTCCCATCACCGTGTTGATGAGGTCCGGGGAAAGACGGAACGGGTCTGAGAAACCCGCCGCCCTGGCCAAGGCAGACCACGTTGATTTCCTTGACTCATAGGGGCCTCTGGATGTATCTGCCTTTGCTCTCTTTGTGATGTGTTCTGCACACCTTTCCGGACCTGTGGATGCGTGCCTTATGGCGTCGTTTAGCGAGCCCCTAGCGTAAGCCTTGACACCTGGCTGTGCAAATGGTGCGGCTGCTTCGGGATGCCCGGGGTCGACGGCCCCATAGACGGGCCCCTCCTGCAATGGGCGTAGCCCTGCAGAATGGGTGGCTGGTTTTGCCTGGGGTATTCCCTGGCCCAGCCAGAACCGTGGACCTAGACTACGCTTCATTTCGAGCCCAAAACTCATGTGTTACCTACCCAAGAAAACATGCAGTGCACAGCCTCAGCCCTTATGTGAAAACCTATGCCCCCAAACCACTTTTCCCCCCTTTGAAAGATCTGGCATTACCCTTTGGTAAATGCCAAAACGAAGAATCCACTTGGATGGGTATGCGTGATGCAGCCCCCAGGTCTTCGTGCGGAAAACATGGTGGGGTAGGTTCAAACTGCCGGCTCAATGCATCTGCTACTTTATTGAGTTTGGTGTTCAGGTGTTGAAGGATTGTGAACTCGTATATTCCCTTCGCCTGATCTAAAGCTATTTCTCTGGCGATCATAGCCATCCCTGGCGACTTGGCCTTGCCTTTTGCTAACATGTGGAGGGCCGATATGTTGTCAGACTTGACACGAATGATGGACCCAAGTGGAAACCTTATCAGCCATGTCCTTGCGGCTAGTAATAGGCACAGGGATTCCCAAAGCGCCATGTGGCTGGGGCCCCCTGGTTGGGCACCAGTACGAACGATGAACTCTTGGGGTATGATTGTGCTGAAGAACTCGACTGGTCTGTCCCCAACTATCATAATAGCCCCCAAGCCTCTGGTTGATGCGTCCGTAATAATAATGCATTTTGTCTCTTGTCTGAATGCCCTCACTACCCTGGTGAACGGAGCTGCCTTTTCTCCCAGCAAGGCGTCTATCCACTGTAAGGCTATCCCAATGCGGCGCACATGGACAACATTTCTGGTCTGCTTCGGACCGTCATTCGTTGCCAGTGCAGCCCACAGGGAGTTCAAGAAAGGTCTCATGAGAGGGACCAATCCCGCCACGAAGGACAACGCGCCTGCTAGACTTTGTAGCTGTCTTCGTCCAATGACCGGCCTCCTCAGGTAGGTCTGGACTTTTGATTTCAGCTCAGCAACTTTGTCTTCAGGTATAGTTACAGATATGGTGTGGTTATCATGATCTGCTTTTATAACGGCTCCTATCCACTTCACCTCTGTTCCTGAATCAGACTTTTCCAGTTTGAGTGGGTACCCGGCTATTTGTGACCAGAGCAGGGAGATTCCCACCCTTTCCTTGTGATAGGGGTCCGTGCAGTCAAACGTGAATAACGGGTCGTCCACATACGTTTGCAGTCTGATGTCAGGGTTGATAGAGGCAAGGGACCTTCCGAACCATGCTGCATATCTGCCCCATAAAGTTGGAGATGAAACTGAACCGAAAACCAGGACATCATAAACCACAATTTTCAGTGTGCCAGTTTTGTCCCTGAATGCAGCTGAAGTGAATGCTCTGTCTTTACCCGATGGAATGTTGTGGAAGGCATCGCGGATGTCCACTGCTAGAAACGCTGGCTTCCCCCCCTTTCGGAAAATTTCCAAAGCGTCCTCAATGGCGTCGGTGACCCTCGGCAGTAACACCCTTTCGCCTTGGGAGCATAGCTTGTTTGTGCCGCTCTCCCTCATGTCCCAAATAATCCGTGCCTTCCTAATCACTCCCTCAGGTGTTTGTTTCTCCTTGACCAACAGACCCAGTTTGTTTAATACGGGTTTTATTCCGATTTCCCTTTCCGCAGCAGCCATGTTGGGGTAGAAAGAACAGAAACCTTTAGATGCAGCCTCATCAATAAGTTTGTGTAGATCTTCTTCCCACTCGACGGCAGATGGATGGTTATCCCAGTTTTCGAATGACCTTTGTAATTGTTCTGCTGCCTCAGCTTCCCATTCAACCTCCTTAACCACGGGGAATATGCCCGTACAAGGAATGGGTTCGGTGAAGCCTAGGGGAGCGCCCGACCTCAACCACTGCGCCAGCACCGGGGAATCCGGGTCCCCACTTATTCTTCCCCAAGCATCAAAAATCTGAGGTTGGAGTGGCGTGCATGCTTTTGCATACTAGGTTGAAAGGTTCCTGGGGACAACGAACATACCAGTTGCCTAAGCTTGTCAATAAGCTGAGCTGAAATCGGAGCTGCCTGTCCACCCGTTAAAATTTGGTCGACTAGCGATTTGACAGAGGGGTGAGATGTTGCTTGCTTGAGAAGCTTGAAAACGGCCCTGCCTGCCATGTCGGATTTTGGGATCCTCCTGATGGACTTTAGCGGGTTGCGCATCCCCCCAATGGCATCGGCATTCTCAATCTCCCTCTGTCTCATCGCTTGGTCCTCTAAGACTGGTCCTGTTGGTCCGGCACTCACGCCTCACTTCGCTGCCTTCCTGAGACTCCCCTCGCGATGCTTCATCACGCGGGGAAGGTCCGCCTTCTCCATCGCCTCTGCCAAGGCCTTGTTCAAGGCTGGCGGGTACTCACCCAGAGCTTTGGATGCTCGCTCCTTTTCTCCTCTGACTGTCCTCCACCTCTGGACCAAGGACTCATGTGGTGAAACGTAGGTCTCTCCGTTTGGTCTGGTCCATTCCTTCGGAGGATGGTTGCACCTCCTCCCCTTGATTTGTCCAAGGGGAAGGGAGTCCGTCTGAATCCTTGTGGGCTTCGTTGTTTCTGCTCCAAATTGGCATTGGTCGAACAACGCCTTTTCCACCAGCGCGTGACCAGTCATCTCTTTGAACCAGCTCGTTTTCCACATGTCGAGTTTCTCCTTGTGGTCTGGATTTTCTATCCAGTAGGCCGCTCTGATGCGCCTCACTTCTCTCGTCACGTGTGTGGAAAATTCGATGAGATGATTTGCCTCCTTGAGCTGTTTTCTCTCCTCCGAGGAAAGGCTTTTGAGAGGCAGCCCATCCGGATGTTGTAGGGACCTGAGTGGTCTCGGGCCCGGCGGATTCTCCCTCAGTGGGGACACCGTTTCGCAAGGTGTAGCCATGCCCACTACGTCGAAGACACCAGCCCTGATATCCGCGAAGATCTTGCGACACACCTCCGTGTCCAGAAGGTCTGCCGCAGTCGGCCCCTGCTTGTCGACCACCACCACTATCCATCCCATGTGATGAAGATAGGAGGTAAGGTCTCCATCCCTCGGGCGCCCTGAGAAGAGCAGGAGGGCCCTGGGCCTGTCGTCCCACAGCTGCGGGTCCAGGTTGGTGGCCCCATACTTGTAGTCCACGTACAGCGGCATTGATGGGATCTTCTCTCTCCCTGCTTGTACCGTAGTGGATGATGATGTGGACGATGAGCTGGAGTCACTTGAACTTCCGGGTTCTTCCTCCTCTCTTGGGTTTGGTGCCTTCCGGTCTCTGTCTTGCCTCGGCCTCTTGTGGTGTGAAGCGGCTTCATTCTCTGGGCTCGCCCTTTTCGGGGCAGCTTCTAACCTGGGTCTCTTCACCGCCGGCCGATGAGTGCCTCCAGGGGACCTGGAAGGGGAAACTGGGCGATCCCTCCTGTCCCTGACTGGAAAGGCCTCATGTGGCCTCTTCCTTCGTGGAAGCGGTGGCCGCGTGTCTTTCGGCTGGGCCTCTCTGTTTGGAGTCAGCTTGATCCCTAACTTTCAGTTGGGCCCCTTGCAGTCTTTGGCCATGTGGGGGCCTAGACACTTGTCACATTGATGTGAACGATTGTTCTCACATCGTGACTGCGGCTTCCCGTTTCCGCAGGCGCCTCGGTTGTACTTCTGGCAGATCTGGATCCCTTTTCGGTTCAAGGAATACCTTGACTGTTCTGCGTCCCAACGTGATCTGTCCTCACCTGTGTACTTGCGCTTGGCCTTCTTCTTCTGCGTGCCTTCTGGCTGCCGAGACTTGCGCTTCTGTGGGCGACCCTCTTGAGAGCTGCTCTCTTCAGGTGCCAGCTGTTTGTTGCGGGCCAGAAGGAGCGTGGCTGGCGTCGCCACTTCTTTGGACCAAAAGTCCGACTCCCTGACCGTTGCCGCAAAGACTGAGCTCCATGGAGAGGCCCTAGTGTACCCATACTTTGGGTCCTCATCCAGGGCTCTGCGGATCCGCTCTTGGAACTCACTTCTCATCCTGACGTCTGCACGGTATATGATGCCCCATGCTTCCTGTCCGAACTGCGCATGGAGGTCCTTTATGTGTTCTAGGTAGCCCTCCAGTCTCTCGGCATCTGCAGCCTCCAACAAGAGCATAGCCACCTTGTAGGTCTTGAAGCTCTTCTCCCATTGTTGAAGAGTAGCCGGACCTGGGCTCTCTTTCTTCGACCACTCCCCAGTCGCCGCATTCAGGGTGTAGGAGGAGAACACACTCCTGCGCAGCGACCGGATGGCGTGTGGCCCGAAGATTGACATGTCTATGTACGGCAGAGCTCCACTGGTAAGAAGCTGTTTGATTGCTGATATTTGATCAGCGCTGGGTTCCACGTCTGCTGACGGGACATCGCCGAACTTGGACTTGTACTTGGAGAACATCTCTGCAATTTCTTCTTGGCCCAATTGCAGGATCTCTGCATCGAGTGTGGGATCTACGATGCTACTCAGTTTAAGCTTTCTTGTTGGGGATGATGGACCTTGTCCCCCTCCAGTGCCTGGGAATGGGGCCGCTCCCACAGTCGGCTGTGGAGGGCCTGCAGCACCACCAGGTCCATCTGGATTGACCTTGAGCCTCAGGAATACCACCCGGCGAAAGATCTCGACCCGTGAAAATTCCACAGGGGTCAAGTCTCGCTCGGCCTCTGTACCATCAGCTTGAGGCTCTTTGATCGTGAGGCTGGCCACCACCGTATCCCACGTAGGACGGGCAATGAACACCAGGTCCCGCAGCTTGGACGGTTTGCCCAACTTCTCCATGAGATGGTCGTGGACCGCACCTGTCGTGCCTGCCCAGTCGGCTGCATTCTCCAAGGTGTTGAGGTTATTGAGTTCCTCTTCGGTTGGATCCATGGTATACCGGACCTTCACTCCACGACACCTGTCTCGAGACTGGGCCTTGCGGGCTTGCCTTGGGCCCGGGAGTGGCTACCCTGCGCCTCCTTTGGTTTGGCCTAGGAGGGCTTTGCACAGAAGGTAGCTGATGATGTGAGTAGTTGCGGAAAGCCAGTGCCACGGTTCTCCTTCGGTGGGTAAACCGTAAGGCTCGACTGACCAGCTGGTGCCAGCCAACCGTGCTCGGGTGACCGGCTGATCCTCGGGTGCGCAAATTCCAATGGCTGACCCACGAGTGGAGCTTCCAACCCAAGACGGCACCGACCAGGACAGCACCGCTAAGTGCTACCCCGATCACAGTCCAAACGCCCCCAAACCAAGGTTCGGATGGGCTTGAACTTGCCGTCAGGTCGGATCCCCCACTTAAGATCAAGGCCATGGGATTTCAAAATCACACCCTTGAGCCAAAATGGCCCCAGGCCAAGCTGGTTCAAGGGTTTCCCTCCCACAAACACCCCTCTCATGTCATTTAGTTGTTACAACAACAGTTTCACTGTTTCACCCAAAAATCATAATTATATTATATATCATGTTATATTATATTATAATTAAAATTATAAATATCTAATATTATATCAGATTATATTAGATTATATTATGTTATATCATAATTATATATCATAATTATATTATATCATATCATGTTATATCATATTATAATTATAGATATCTAATATTATATTATATTATATTATATTACATTACATTATATTCTATTATATTTTATCACATTACATTATAATATATCATATTATTTTATTATGTCATATTATTGTATTATATTATTGTATTATATGTACATAATATGTGTGTGTGTGTTAGATATTGAATTATCATGACCTCAGTTTTAGGCGATGGGAGGCAGGAACAGGACCCAGCTGCTCCCGCTTTCGCTTCTCCAGTTCTCGGATCCTCTGCATGACCCCCGGGATGGCATCGTAGCGCAAATCCGCCGCAGCATCCACATCATGACGGGCCTGTGAAAACGTATTGTGTATGTGAGGGATATAAGATGATATAAGATGATATAAGATGATAAAGGACAGGTATTGGAATGTACATTCATGTCTTATTCAATACGAATGCAAATATGCATTGTACATGTGCATATATCCATGCGATGCGATGCAGTGCGGAGCAGTCATAATATAGATTTTTCTACTGTATGTTTATGCAAATGAACCGAGTAGAAATAAATTTGAAAACGAAAACTCAATATCCATGGATAACCATGGATAACCATGGATAACCATGGATAACCCCCTAGTCATATTTGGCTTCAATCGGCAGCCTCCATGAGGTCCAACTTCTGCTTCAACTCTTGGAGCTTGGACTTGGCTTTGCTGAGATCTTCAATGAGCTCGCGTTCCTGGAAGGACCAAAAACACAACGGGGCGTTCCTGGAAGGTTCTACAGCACTTTGAAAGTAGGACAAAAATGCAGACATTGCAATCAATCTGGGTAAATTATAATAATTCACTAACCTGAAATAAGGCCATTTTGGGATGATTCCCCTTACTAACAATGACTTACCCAGATCAATCACAAAATGCTCCTGCGGAGATTTGCATCAACATGTTCAATCCAGATTTGAGCCACCAAATTGGTGACGAACTTTCAAAAAATGAACTTTGACACCCAAATTTGACCCAGATTGGAGAGAATCCCTTGTGTTTACATACATATATGTATGTATGTAACGTGTATATATATAATTATATATAAGTATATACTATATATATATGTAATTACATATACTTATATAATCTTATATATATATACATTCATAAAACATGATGCTACGAGTATGTATTAACACACATGTGTATATCATCTTCCAGTTACACCAGCTTTCCGCCGGGGGATCCGTCACCGAGTCACCGCGCCTGTTGGTATCTGGCCCTCAAAGGCGCCAGCTCCTCCCCGAGCGAGGACAGCTCCTTCCGCGCGTCCTGCAGACGCGCTTTCGAGGCATCATCCTGGCACTCGTTGTTCGAAAAAATGGCGAGAAAATTGATGGAACGCCTATGGTTTCCCGGTTTCCCAGAGGGACATGACTGGAAATGATATATATATATATATATTATATATTATATATATTATATATATGTATATATATATGTGTATATATATATATGTGTATATATATATGTGTATATATATACATATATTCTAGAGAGAGAGAGAGAGAATGAGAGAGATAGATATAGACTTCTATAAATGGTGGTGTTTCATGATTTTTTATTGGAATCTGCTGGAGGCTAACCCATATAAACTGATTGAAGATCTGGATTTAACCATCAAAAATTAGTTTTGCCGATGAATGACCCATGGGGGTGCATGCGGTATACCATATACCCCTTGGAACTCGTATACTATATATGATAATAATCCTTTGGAACTCGTGGTCCTCTTTTCTGAGACAAACCCGTCTGTTAATCTTCATTACATGACTGTGATTTGCTTCCATGGCCAACTTAGATGTTGTGGATGTACCGCAGTATCCCTGTGGAGTTTCAGTGAAATATATGAGTCAATTGGGATAAATTTAATCGTGCTTATGGATGGACAGTCATCATGAAAGCATTTGAAACCACCAACCAGGCACCTGGGTCAATTTGCTTATCAAACCATCCCGGAGTCCAACAATTCTGACTGATATCAAAGTACTGTGTATCCGTGATGTTGCTTCGCCAAGTTGATTTAGGGGATTTACTAAGTGTTGGTTCAGCATAGGTTCAGCCCATGTTTCTGTTCCGTATCTCACCCATTCTTTTCACTCTGTTGGTCATACCCGATCCATGATTTTACCCAAAAAATCTGGAGGCCAACAGAAACTTGTGGTTTTCCCCCTCTGTCGAAACCAGGGGTTTTGCCACCTTCCAAAAAGAAAAAGTACTGGTAAGTAAAAGTAACAGTAATAGCAATCGTAATACACACAGACCCCGAGGTTTGCCCAAGCCCAGAATAGCGTAAATACCAGGGAATTCTGTACGATGTTCAATTATGTTACTAGGGTGTTAACCAGAACATGTTGCTTCTACATATCATATGGAATTATCATACAGTCATTAGGGTTTCTTATAGGGTTTCAAGAAAATATCAAAATCCCCCGTCCCCATGGAACAATTAATCATACAGTCATTAGGGTTTCTTATAGGGTTTCAGAAAATATCAACATCCCCCGGCCTCATGGAACAATTAACCATACAGTCGTTAGGGTTTCTTATAGGGTTTCAAGAAGATATCAAAATCCCCCGGCCCCATGGAACAATTAACCATACAATCATTAAGGTTTCTTGTAGGGTTCAAGGAGATATCGAAATCCCCCACCCCTCTGGAACAATTAACCATACAATCATTTGGGTTTCTTTTCGGGCTTCAAGAAGATACAGTATCAAAAAACCCAAGATATCAAAATCATCATCATCATCATCGTCATCGTCATCGTCATTGTCATCGTCATCGTCCTCATCGTCATCGTCATCTTGGCTTGCCCGGACGCTCGTTGCGAGTCCGGGCAAACCTCAGGGTCTTGCCGCAGTAATAGTAATAATAATAAGATATAATAAGAATAGTAAAAGAACATGAAACAACAACATCTGGCACCTTCACCAGCAAAAAAAAAACATCGCCATCATCGCCCCCCCTCCCTGTGGCACCTTCTCCTTGCTGAGCGCCTTCACTTCCACCTCCAGGTACTGCCTGCGGCGTTCCAACTTGTCGATCTGCTCCGGCTGCGAGCTGAGCTGCACGCGGATCTTAGAGCACGCCTCCGTTCGCGGGAAATGGGGGGAGCCAGGCCTCCAAGTTTTGATGTTGGGCTTGCCAAAATTAAATCCTTGAACGGAAAAAAATAGGGGTTGACCAAGGATCATTTGTGAATGGAGTCAGTAGGGTAGCTGTTTTGAAGCAGAAATGGCTGGTTGCCTTATTGTCCAGTTGTAAATCTATCCACTTATTGAGATTTCGATCAGCAGCCCTAGCTATCCTGGGTGTAAAACAAGTTAGCTAACTATGGGGCATCACGTTGACCAACAGGAATGAGGAAATGTCATGGAGATGTAGCAGGAGATTGTGTGAGATTTATCGGATGCACATATCATCTATATAAATTATATTAGTAATCTATATATAGTAAGAACAGAATGCGTACAGAAAAATGCAATGTCAGATTTCATGGGGATATTGCTAGCAACCAAACAACCACAACAAAAATGGGAATCGGCGGATATTGCATAGTCTAACAGACATATTGTTTTCTTGTTTGTTGTCAATCATATAGCCATATCCAACAATAATGTCTTTCTGCAGACCAACCACTTCTCTCTATAGACTACCCATCAGAAAAAAATATGTCTTAGAATCCGTTGCATAGGATTCAGCAAATCATCCTCGAAACTTGAAGGTCAGTCTGGGCTATTCACCATTCCACACACTTCAAGACTGTTGGGGTTTCTAACTTTCACCTCTTGAGGGCTGTATTCAGGACTTTCCAGATGAATCCATGCGAAAGTTGTGAACTGCTGTGTGCCAATCTGGGGCAGAAGCGTCATTGAAAAATCTGAATTTGAATCTACCTATTACTGAGCCATCGGGGATAAAATCTAGGCCTCCATCTTCAAGTATTAAAAGAAGCCATGCAATTGAATCACCAGCAACGAGCTTGCCTCGTCCAACAGGTCCACTGCCTGAGGGCAATGCTCTTACTCTAATGTGGAAGCGAAGAATCTGCCACTTGTGAAGGATTTACATAATTTGTTTATGAATGAACTCATTGATTGATCAATGCATTATGAACATGGTGTTTTTTCCTTGTCAGGGTAGACTACCAGATGGTACAGTATCGGATGTTGCTTCGAAACTTCAGAAACCAGTTTCACTTCCCTTTGAGGAGAGTAGCAACCCTTGGGGGTGCGACAGACAAGTTCTAACCTGAAGTGGTACATGTAAAAAGC